TGAAAATAATGTAAAATCGCACACGGAAGAACCGAAAAGATTGAAAATTATAATACCTTTTTCTTTCGTCTGTCGATTTTATAACTGGTTCGGAACTATAGAATTTAGGACTAGTTCGGAACTATCGAAAAAGGGATGCAGCGGGGGGCAATTGACACTTGCTAGGACATCGCCATGTTAAATTCGCCAGTTGCTTGCATGCAAAAGAGATTTATCGCGAACCAGTACTGGGTCTAAATGTACTAGAAGCGCCCCAGTTCAGAACTAGAGATTTTCCCACAGGGTGTTTATCCGTGCTGTGGTGTTGCTGGATATTCAACATTTGAAAGCGAATATATATGCCTGGGTGTAGCTGAGTGCGCAAAGATGCTTGCCACAAGTTGTTGATGTGCGGAGATGGTCGGGTTCGAATTCCACTGCAGGCAACATGCAAATAAACTTTTTTTTTTTAGTTTTGTCTTGATTGTTAACTTCAGGGATGCTTCTTCAGTACGAACGCGGTCATTTTAATATGCGCGTAATTAAATTGAATATTTACTAATATACAGTACTTTCGTTGACGTTTAAAGTAAGATCAATTACGTTTCTATTTGATTTTAATATTTTTTTCCCTCAGTGTATGGCGCAGAAGCATGGACAATGACAACATCCGATGAGGCGGCTCTTGGAGTATTCGAGAGAAAGATTTTCCGCAAGATTTACGGGCCTTTACGCGTTGGCGACGGCGAGTACCGCAGACGATGGAACGATGAGCTGTATGAGCTTTACAACGACATGGACATAATGCAACGAATTAAAATAAAGTATTCAACTCGGAACCCCCTGGTGGTAGCAGAGGAAGAGGGGGCCACCACTGCGATGGAAAGATCAGGTGGAGAAGGACTTGGCTTCGCTTGTCGTTTCCAATTGTCGTCAGTTGGCACAGAAAAGACACAACTGGCGTGCTTTGTTGAACTCGGCCAAAATCGCTTAGGCGGTTACAGTGCCATATAAGAAGCAAAAGAATCTTAAGTAGTTACTAAAATATCGCAGTTTTCGTATTTTTGAAAATTTGCCCATTTTCAATTCCGTCCTACGCCCGAAAGAAGTGCACGTACCAAGTTTCGTTAAAGTATCTCAATTGTTACTCCAGTTATCGTGTGCACAGATGGATGGACGGACAGACACCCACCTCTTAATGGATTTCCCTTTTCATTCTGATCATTTATGTATACATTTGTCTGTATCTATCTCGATTCGTTTTGCCTGTTACAAACAACCGTTATGTGAACAAAGTAATAATACGCTTGTGCACAAGTGCGCTCGGGTATAATTACTTAAGGTGTTCTTACACGATATGTATTTGCATGTGTACGTGCCACTTTTTACATATGGAAAGCCAACATATCGGGTAAAGACAAATTGGATTTGTTTGTGCACAAAGCTGATGCACGTACATATGAAATAGGAATGTTTCTATTTTCATCTGACACAAAGATAGAATCATCTGAGTTTAGTTTATTTCGTTTTCAAAGAACGTATTTTTAAATAGTTAAATAAAGACTGTGAATTTGACAGACATACGCAATTACATATGTATTGAAAAAGTCACATTTACAGATGCAAATACATATCGTGTAGGAACACCTTGAGGTAGTATTATAGAACCAGATATTTTAGTTCACCTAAACGCACAAGACTCTGTAATAGAGTTAGGCGTCGACGATTTTCAACCGGTACTTGTTCGCCCAAAGAGGCAGAAAGGGCTTCAACATCAACTATTGTTGACGCTTTCTTAGAGGAGTGCCTTCCACCCACTTCACATGATGAAGTAAATTCTTCTTCTTTAGGTCACTCCTTTTCCAGTCTCCGACTATCACTCAGCGTGAACGGTTGCTTATTATCAGAGTGTGTCTATTTTCTACTCTCTTTATCAGCTCTTTTCGTATCAAGCCACGTGATATTTTTATCCAATATATTAAAATCCACCTCAGGAGCGTGTGTTTATAACAAAATCCGTGATAATGCCCCCTG